CTCTGACCCCACAGCTTTTTCTGTGCTTACACAAGCGATTACTGGCCAAGTGGGTTTTGTGGATGCTGAATTCTGTACAACTTGTGGGGGAAAGGGAGCAGACAAAAGATGCTCAGTATGTAAAATGGTAAGAATAAAAAAAAATAGTTGCACTGAGGTGCTGAGGATTTTGAATGCTTTCCTATTTACTGTGCATTCACGCCTGCACTGAAGACATTCAAACATGTACTTCTGAGAAAGATGCCTGAAATTCACAAGTAGGAAAGAGCACTCGGATTTCCAAGTCTGTACGCTTAAGAATGAAGAAAGAGCAACAATCCTGTATGTTTAGAGTTAATAAAAAACTGCTCTTTATAGATTCTTATATAGGTTAGAGTCACTCCATATACCTTTAAAATTGCTTTAAAATAACATTAAGTGCTATACATAGGCATTTAACTTGCTGCACTAAGAAATGCAAGGAAATTATTTTAGTACATGAAAATGAATTGATAACTGTGATAACTTTTAGGTGATGTACTGTGACCAGAACTGCCAGAAAATACACTGGTTTACCCACAAAAAAGTCTGCAAGATCCTGAAGGAAATTCATGAGAAACAAGAACTAGAAGCTGCCAAAGAGAAAAGGAAACAAGAAAAGAAGCAGAAGAAAGGTTAGGATCCGTTGTTCCCTTGCTGAAACTAATGCTGTGTTAACTGCATCACAAAGAGCAATTTAACAGGTCTTAAAACTGTAACAGCTGAGATTGGGATAAAAATCTTTGATGAAACATAACAGCAAAACTGAGTTTGTTGGGATTCTGGCCTTTAAATTTACAAATGCTGTATACTTTCCAAATGTGGTTTTTAATGATGCAGTTACACAAATTTCTACAATGGAAGCATTCTGATTAACACTGCACTGTTTCAAAATCCAGATCTTTAATCAAGCTAGTGCAGAACTTGAATGCTGCTCTATGTTTTGTTGGAGGTGCTAAGACAAGTTGGATAATAAGCAAGCAGCCTGCTCCTTCCAGTTGCAAAGGTTAAGGTAGATGTTAAATACATCTCCCATAATACTTCTCTTCATAATCACAGTATCAAGTTAATTGTGTTGTGTGCTTTGAATGTGAGGAAAGCAAGCAGTAGTCTTTAAACTGCTCGTGGTGGTTTTCTTCCTTCAAGAAACAAGTAATTAAAACATAATAACCTAATAAACGCTATATTGCCCCTTCTCATGTTTCTCCAAATGAAATAATAGGAAAGTAGGGGATGAAATCACTTTTTCTGTTTTACAGCTTACTAGATTTCCCTTCCTTTGTTTTAAGGATTGTAGAAGTGCACTGCAGAAATCATGGTTGCCTTACAATGGTAATGTTGTTCACTTCAGCTGTACTCAGAATAGCAGGATATAAATCAGTAATGTATCAGTAATAATTAAAGTTTTCGACAGTTTCCTCTGTTGATCCTGTTACAAGAGTTGCTGTTGCATGGGATCAGGATGACTGTGGAAGTTGGAGGCAAGGTTATTAGAAATTTTTGGATATATTGCATACCAGTGCAACAAAACATAATGAGCCATGAGTGGTGATGCCTCATGTGCTGTCCTTTTCAGAGGGAGAGGCAGGATCTCAGTGGATGGCTCTTCTCCCTTCCTGCCTAAAAAGGGAAGCTAACATTTTTTGTTATGTTTCTCCTCCATTATCTACATGTCAATCTTCATTAACTGATTCAAGTAGACGGCCAACACATTACAGACCTTATCCAATCATGCACTGTTAGTAAGACACTGAAGTCATCTGAGCTCCAGGTCACCTTGTGAGTAGTGTTGCATCAGAGCATTTCAAATCAACAGTAGTTTTATTTCAGAAAGTTGGTAATGCCCCCTACAAATCCTGTACATCAGGAAAGTAATAATTAAAAAAACAAATGCAACAGCTGCAACTACAAGCAAACTCAATAATTTAAATGTTTCTGCTACACAGGGTGAGTGTCAAGAGAGTCCACGTTTCAGCCTGTGCTGAAGGCTCTTAGCTCACTGCCACATAAGACTTTGGCAGGGTTGAGGCTTGCTAGCTGGGACTGATTTTGGCTGGCTATCAATCACAACAGAGAACAATAAACCAAGATATAACTACTTCTCCCAATTAGGCTTTCCCCTCCTTTTCAGAAGTCCTAGCATGCAAGCCCTACTTAGTAGAATCAGGTGAAAAAAGTTATTGAACAACTACTTTTTTCTCAGAAAACATTGCTTGAAGAGTAAAGGTGCAATAGCTTATTCTGTTCTATGCAGTCAAGTTGGGAATTTTAGGATGACTCATTTCAACCAAAGTTCATTGTTTTTAAGTACTTAATTTCTTCAGTCTATTTTATGCAGAAATGCTTCCTATGTAGTGGTGTCCATGTCCTTTTGATTTAAAACAAACCCCACCTGTACTCAGTGTTTAACTGGCTTGCAGCCATTCTTTGAAAAGCTGGTGATAAGAATATGTCAATAAAGCATGTTTGAATTGAAAGTTAAAATAACTGTAGTATCCTACTCTGCTTCTCTCTATAATTAAAAAAAAAGTAGTCTGGCAAAAATAGAAGATAAATTAATGAGAGCTAGGGTTAGTTTCAGTGTAACCTTATACCAACTTAAGCAAAGCCTTAGTGTTTTGAATTTTTTCAATGAAGATTTTCTAAATAAATCACTTTTGTAATAGATACAAAGTATCCTAGTGTTATTGTTTTTCAACAGTAAAAATGTTTCCTTGCAGAGGAGTTCAGTGCTTATTAATTGTGTGATTTCTCTTTTGTTTAGATGAAATGCAGCTAGCAGAGGGTAGTTCTACAAGTGAACAACAGTCAGATCCTGGTCCAGATCCTACAAAAAATGTGGATCCAAATCATCCTACTGATGGAACAGAAGAACCTGAATTTACCAAAGAGATGGAGGCACTAGCACTGCAACCTGAAAGTCCACTAGAGAGTGAAACTGCCTTAGATGACATTGATCTTCAAAAAATTCAAGATTCTGAGGAGTAAGAAGAGGGTAGGAAGGGACTGAGAGTTCTCAAGGGTACTGAAGAATTTTTTATGCTGACCATGTCTGAGTTCTTGGAGCATGGCTTATGCAAGACTTCTTTTAAAAGACAGAATGTCTCTGTCCATCAAGAGATAGAATACTGGCTATTTTGTCTATAAATACTCCAGGTTTTGTTGTAAATTGTCAAGATAGGTATTTATTATCTGCTAAAAATTAGTGGCATAGATCCATCTGTATGTATACCAATAAGCCTAGTGAAACACTGAGTTTCTGTGGTTAATGAACCACATAGTGAAAAATGAACAGCATTTGATTTGGATTATTCATGTTTTCCAAACTTAAAACTTACTTTAATTGTAATTTAATTTTTTTTTCCTGCAAGTACATAGTTAACCTGTAGTTAAAAGCACTGAAAGGCCAACTCTTAAATTGCTTTTTTTTTCCAGCACTTTATGAAGTTTTATCTGAAGGAATTCAGTAGCAATTAAGTTTCTGAAGATACTCGTCTGAACTCTCAGTTTTTCATGACATTACTGTAAATATTTTTGACTAGTGAGAGCACAAAAATAATGTCTATTTTGTGGCAATTGTAGTAAATTAAACTGCTGTTTCAGGTGTCTCAAGCTGATGGTGAAATGTGTATTTCACTATTGGTTTGGTCAGAAATATTCAAAAATCTAATGAAGGGAAGACCAGAATGACTCAAAACATTTTGACTGACAAGAGTAATGCATTCTGAATTTTTCAGGTAAAGATGCGTTAGAGCACAGTGGGATGTTTCTTATGAAATATTTCATAAACAAAAAATGCTTAGTATTTTTCATGCTGAAGTGGTCACAGTCAATTAGATAAGAAAGTTCATGTGTGCATTGATATAACTGTGATTTCACTTTGGCTTTCAGCTGAATACCAGATCCAGAAAAGAGCTTCCCTCAACTTTGTTTTCCACTCAGATTTATTTCTGTGTCTCATGGAATCAATGGGAATGCCACAACTGAAAATATCACTTGCTGCATAAGGATGGCAAAATTGGAGACTGTCTTATTGTCAGCTGAATCAGTGGTGTTTTAAAAGGCAGTATTCTTCTAATCAGAGGAGTAAGGACCATCCTCGAAACAGAGAAAACGCTATTAATTTTTTTATAATTTAATATGTTGAAAGTTTTTGTTTAATATTCTCAAAACTGCAAGAGTGAGGATACATAAATCCACCTGTGCAGGGAATGTACCTGTGTTTTAATTTCAAGGATTAGTAGATTGTGAAGAATAAAGGGAATTTTTTTAAAAGGGGCTATGTGGCAATTGTGTTTCCTGCGTCTGTAACATTGTGACGTTCTCATGTGACATGCAGGGGACTCCTGTAGCTTGAGTGTACAAATTTATCTTCATGACAATTGGCAGGCAAGAAATGCCTGCCTGGAACTCAGATCTGCAGTCATGCTGTAGTCACCCTCCACTCTGAGGTCTGGGAATGCAGAAGTGCTGCTGCCTCCCTGTTCCACTCACAGCATTTGGGGCTCACAGGGGTGTGTTGCTCTTCAGGGATTCTCTGAAAATGCCATCCCTTCAGGGCAAGAGAGTCAGGGTTGTGGAAGTGTGCTAAAATACCCAGCACCAATCCTGCTGTCATTCTCCCAGTGGTGGTGCCTTGCTCATTGGAAATCTTTGATTCCTCGACAGGCCACCAGACAACCTCATCTCCACCCTGCTTCCAAAAGGAAGGTTGGACTAGATAAGCTCCAGAGATCCCTGCCAACACAGACCACCTGTGGCTCTGTGCTAACTTAGGAGAGAAGGAACTCAGCAGACAAGCTACAGCCTGAAAGAAGAGCTTTGAAATATTTAGAAAGCAGCATTGACTTTAAGCCTTGACAGAGTGGAAGGAGAAATATGTGAGGAAGTGTATTATAAGAAATAAAAGTATTTATCCTGAGTTTCCTAAAAATTAGTGTGCAGTTTAGTACTTTCGGATAACAGAATTATGGTAAGGATTCCATTTCAAACAACTTTTATTATAACATTGCCACTATTTATAATTTGTTATCTTAATTCCTTCACTCTCTATACAACATAGGGTGAAAGAAATGTTACACTAACATGTTTTTTCTGGAAATTCACTTAATTAGATGAGTGTTGTTATGGACTTGTTTTATTGAGCTGTTAACCTACTTATGGGGTTAACATTAGAGAGAGAAACAGGAGTTTTTTCATCTAAACTGGACTGTCAGCTTCTCAGGGGGCTCTCCTGCTTTGTTTTGAAGCCGTCTTTCTTGACAGGTGGCTACTTTGTTCCAGTCCACAGAGGAAAATTCCATTAGAGATCTTGTCATTGCCCGTACTAAAACTGCATCTTCGGGGTCCTCAAATGGCACTCTGCAAAAAGAACAAAGCAAGTCCATTACCTGAGCATTTCCAAACCACTTCAGAACTAATTTACAACACACACTCTCTGGAAAATGATGACACTAAAGTCATGATGACACTAAAGAGGGAGGATTTAAAAATTTTAAATTTTCAGAAGGTTTTCTTCTACCAAATTTAAGAAAGCAGAACAAAATGAAAAAAAGGTGAGTCATGGGATTCTGTTTGAAAAAATCATGCTATAAATTATTTAAAAACATTTATAGTAGACTTAAAAATGTTTCTTTGTTTTCAATATTTTTCCCCCACAAAAGTTGTAATTGTATACTTTTAATGCTCTGATTCAATGGACATGATTCAAGTGACTTGGTACTATTTTTCCCCCACAAAAGTTGTAATTGTATACTTTTAATGCTCTGATTGGACATGATTCAAGTGACTTGGTACCCATTAATGGAAATGCACATTTATTTCACTGTGGATTTCTTCCTAGCCCACAGGCAAATATCCATTCTCCAAGCTCTGAATCCAGATCACTGTGAGCTTGTGTTCATGTATCCTGCCACAGCTGCAGTCTGGGAGAGAAAAGCAGCAGATTCACACCAGCAAAGCAGCACTGACAAGGAACCAAAACCTTCCAACTCACATACAATATTAAAACTTTATTTTATAAGGACTTATTTCTTAAAGATGTCCCTGTAGTAACACACCTCATATAAGCCACAGGACTGTCTCCACTGAGTATCATGCACATTGTCATGAAAAGACACCTTGGAAAGCCTCAGCATTTCCATAAGTAAGACTCCAGGCAGCTGTACATCCATTCTAGCAATGAGGACAGCTAACTGCACTGAAGGGCAGGTAAGACTTAATTTTTCAAAAGAAATAACTTGATTTTTAAAGAGCTGTGCTCAGAGTACTGTTAAAGGATATTATATGTAGGCTCTTATTATTTCCTTCAATGCCTTTTTCAAATCTTCTCATGTGTAAAGCTAGAAAGTAAAGCCAAGCCTGATACCTAAAATTTGTAAATCTCTTAAAAAATTTACATCTAAAATGTCATCACATGAAAATGCAACCTTTCTCCTGTCTCAATCCAGATACAGAGATAAAAGTTTTACATTTATTTCTATGATTTTGAAATGGAACAGAATAAAAACAACATCACGTACAGAATAAAACAATTTCATTCTACAAGTCATAATATTTTCCAGAGAGTGTTTTTTGAACAGCCACTCAGGAGAACATTTTCTGGGATTTAATACAGAACAGCTCTTCTGATGCTCTAATACTTTGAGCATGCTTTTTCTAGTGATCAGTGTTTGATCTTACAAATAAATGGCATTTTTATGTACCCATTTCCAAATGTGGAATACATTTCAATAGTAAATTTTAGATAACAAACCTAGTGTAGAGTTGCAGCTGTATTGAAAACAAAGACCTGAAACTTTCAAAAGCTCATTTTTACTGGACATTTTCTCTAGTTAGGGTATTTTTTATGCATAGAAAGAGGAACTTAATGCTTCAGAGTTGCAAAAGGAAGAAGACACTGAAAACATTACTTACTTATTAGTGTTATTTCCAAATTCATGACCTATAAGAGAAAGTTCAAATTATGGCGTTAATGGCTGTACAGCAATTTGAGTAGCTGAGAATTGATTGCTATCCTGATCCTAAATTGCTTGTTCAAATTAATTGAAAACTAGCACATGATTTGAAACGTTTAAGATAATGTTTTATCAAATTACTATGCAAGCAAGTATTTTCTGGGTTTTAAGTGTAGGTAGTTTTAAGTTTTTTGTATTTTTTATTTCCTGTAGACATACACATCCAGGCTTTTTTTTCTTTCACAGAAAATGATGCCAGTGTAGATGTGTATGATTGCAGGGTAGAGATAAAGACAGCTGTCTGCCCACTTTGATAATCATCAGCAAAACAAACTACATTATTAAATTATTAATAATTAAAATTATTAATTATTAAATAAATATTATTATCCTTTTCCCAGCCTCTTCAAAATCATTGTCAAATACAGTGCTTTCAGTTTTACTGTTGTGATATATGCATTTAAAAAAACTTGCAGGACTCTCTAAACTTTCATCTACACTATATAAAGTGCTATGGTTTTAGTTGTCTATGCACAATGGTGGTTATTTATCTTCAAAACATCAAAAAAGCTGACAAGGTTGTGTGGGATTTCAGAGTTGGTTCTGGACTGTGATACAAGTCTCCTGGTTCCAGGTGGTATTCGCCTGCTTTCTTGTGCCAGGATCATGCTGCCTTCCAAATCTGAATGTTTTAAGAACTCTATAAATTGCTTTATGTGCTGTTATAAGACATCATTAAAACATTCCCAGCTTGGAAAGCATAAAGAGGAATCTGCTTACAGAACCAGATACATAACATTTAGAACACTAGAAGAAAATATTTTCTTCAGGAGATTATCTTGTAAAAGCACTAGAGGGCATCAAAACTCTATGATGCTGAGCACTGAGAGTCAGAATTCTGTTGAGATGTTTTAAATATAAGTAAAACCAAACACAAGACTCCTACTGACAAAAAAATTTCAGTTATCTTTAAGGACAGTTCTGTAATTACTAAATATAAGTAAAACCAAACACAAGACTCCTACTGACAAAAAAATTTTCAGTTCTGTAATTGTAGGGTATGACTAGAATTTGTCTGCCACAATACTCTCAGTAGAAGGGTTCACTTGTTGCCTGCTGCTACTATGACTACTTACTTTATGAAGCAAACCTGCTGAGTTCTTGATGCATTTATATTTTATTACTAAAACCAATAATGTTTTATCAGATTAATGAAAAAAACCCCATTTCTAATTCAAATTACTTAAAAACGTATGCCTTCCTTTGAGTGTTATAAATACCTGAGGGCATTATTGGTCTTCTGGCTGGTTGAGTGCATCTGCCAGATCCCACTGCAGTCCCCAGGGATGTGTCAGCTCTCTTCCCAAACGCTATTGACTGTGTGACCCAAGCCCTTTTGGGGTTATAGAGATGAAATGATGACTCCCTTTCTTTTTGTGTAACTACTGTTAAAAGGAATATAAAAAAATGTAATTTTATTTCTATCAGTTGAAAAGGCAGCATATAAAAGGTGATTTAATATATTTTCTGTGCAGTTTTTTTAACAATAATAATGTTAATTACACAATTTCATGGCAATTCAAAATGGGAACATGGAGTGATATTTTCTAAGACTTAGGGTGAAGCCCTATACGGTAAAGTATTTTCTTCTGAGTGCAGTAGGGTCAGAAGTTTTAAATGAAAATGCTAGAAAGCAAGATTTTTTTGTGCTGCTTAAATGAGATCTCCTGCAGAAGTAAGTAAAGACTTGGAAGTGTCTTTATGAATAGCAAAAACAAGTCTTGGTTTAAGGCCAGTTCAATTCCCATTGGTCAATTACAGAGAAAACCATAGGAGTGCAATCAGAAGAAAAGTTTAAATTTTTCCTGCTTTGCACATCAAGAGAAATAACTTCAATTTTTAAACAAATAGTTTGAGGCTGTTAAATTGGGGGTGGTGGCTTCAATTTTATGAACCTTATACTAATCTAGTACTTCAGCTATGGAACAGAAGTCAGCTACACTTTTAGAACAAGTAACTGGCAGAAGCATTTTCAGTTCAGGGAAGTTTTGGAGTCATGGTGTCTAGGGGACCAATTAGGAAGGAACTGCAGTAGTCATGCCTGAAGGTAGCGAAACATGAGCACATGTCTTGTGTGCAGGAGACAGCCAGGACTATGCTGGTAATGTTCTACAGATGGTTAAGAAGCTTTGTAATGTATTAGAGAAGTATTTCACTAAATAGAAAGTCCAGGATACAGCTTGATACAAATTACTGCCTCAAGTCTTAATCCAGGACTGATTACAGTAGAACTGTATTTAGGAGATGAAGTCCAGGAAGTTTTATGGAAGTGTTTCTAGACATGTAAATGCAACACGTATTTTTCAGCGCATTAAGCATCAGTCATCACTCCCCAGTCAAAAAGTGATGTTTTAGTAACAGCCTGACAGATGTGTTAAGCACAAGTGTAACACAAGAGCAAGTGCTCAGGAGTGAAGGTACCTGTGCAAAATGACTGTGTGAGCAAATGGGCACCTGGTCAGGTCCAGCAACTCCTCATCAGCCCCTGGCACCTGCTGGGGCCCATCCACCAGCTTTCCTACACGACAGCTGCGCAGCTTCCAGCACCTGCAGATGTCCTGCATCTGCCCTGCTCAGTCCCCTTCCAAGAAGGTGCTGGGTTTTCCTTACTACTTTCTTACAGAGCTGAGGTAGGAATAAGCTACTTTCTCAGTGCTCTCCAGTAATTTTCAGTCCTGTCAGTCACACAGTTCTCCAAACACCAGAGATAAAAATCACCAAAGGTGATTTTCTGGGTACATTGTGGCATGTCTATGGATTCACTGACTATTTTTAAGACAATCTTTTTTTCTGTAGAATTTACAGCAGACAAGCTGTGAAAGATCTCTTGATAACTTCTGAATATTTATTACATTTGAAAGCTTGGTCTGCATTTACCTTACCAAGAAATGTGCATATATGTACTTAAACTGTACAGAAACATGTACAAACCTAAGTAAGCACACTCACCCATGTGATATACTGGTCTGAATGCACAGAGGTAGGTACATGTTTCGAAGCACAAGTTTTTATCTTCACCCAAACAGACAAAGATACAAGAAAAACCAACACAATTTAAAAAGAAAAATAAATCAAAAACATTTGACAAAGTGTTTATGCCATGCAAACTCTTTTTGCTTGATAAATCTTAGAAAAACCAGGTATTTTGTTCATTAATCCTCTTTCTCTATCAGAAATGCGTATAAAAGAACACATAGGATAATTTCATCTATGTTTCCAAACTGGTTAGAAACAAAAGCAACTGTCAATGCTTTGTGAGAGAGGAAAGCAATCCTTACACTTCCTGTCAAGGAGCTGAACTGAAGGAAGGGAGTATATCACATAAAGCCGGTAGTCTGGATCATATGCCAGAGGGTTTTGGAATAGGTCTGCAAAACATACACAGAAAAAAAAGCCCCAGTGTCACAAAAAAGCAAACCCAGCAAAACAACAACTTTGCAAAACAGGAAAATTAAAGGTCACTAGGAGCCAAAGATTTTGTACAAAATATCAAATTCAAATTGTTCTTAGGCTGCATAAACACTTTACACGTGAAATTACTCATCTAAACATGGACTGCAGGAACTGGCTTACTGCAGAATATGCAAAATACCACAGGCAAGATCTGAGTAAAGGTGTCATCATGCACTCCAAACCTTTACAGCAAAAAACACTGAAGTGTTTGCCTTTGAGTTTCTTATGTAGTGCTAGGTAATCCCTATTTTAAATAGCAATGGTCTTTTAGGTGTGACAGCTTAAATGTAAGACAAAATTTGTAGAGGATGGAGTCATTAATATCAGATCAGCTTTAGGACACCTAAGACTTTATCAGAGCTGGTAAGAAGCTGTATCCCACAGACACAATATAAAATGCAAATACACAGCCTTCTGATCTTTTGACAGATGATTAGTTTGAATACTCAAGAAACGTAAGAGAATAATGTTTCAGAGGGCTTAAATTCCTAAGAACCTGGGTTCCAGTTGCTTTCCTCAAGACTGGAGATACCAAGCTCTGAAATCTCATTAGCAACTTGGCTAAAATGTTTATGTTCAGGTTCACATCACCTGTCTAACCAAACCTTTGCAACACAGAGACAGGTATCAACCCTGTGCTGCTGCTTTGCCAGGTGTGGAACATTAGCCTAGCTCACGTATCAGTTGGTTTAGTGACAGTGATATCTGAGCTGATTAAAATAGAAACTGGCTCATTCACAGATGAGCTAATAAACAAAGCGAGTGCTGTGGGGTGGGGCCTGTTTTCTAAATAAAAAACATAATAATGCTTTTTATCTCCTTATACAAATGCTGTTGTTCTAAGACAGTAAAAATAATCAGGAGGCTGTCACCTTGACATGAGAGCAGGGGAAATATCATTTTTACAACTACTGGTTCAGTCTACAGTCATTTTTTCTGAGGAGAGACTGTGGCTAATACTTGCTCTAGGGTAAAAAACTTATGTCATTTTAGCAGTTAGGGAGAGGAAGATGGTATTACAGAAGCAAGTAAGAGGTAGTAGAAGAAAAAAGTCGGAAAAAATTCCACACAGATTTATAAACTACAAGATGCAATTTCATGCAGATACAAGATACAAAGACACAAGATGCAATTTCATGTTCTTCAGGACTTTTATAAACTACAAGATGCAATTTCATGCAGATACAAATTTATAAACTACAAGATGCAATTTCATGTTCTTCAGGACCGCTCAGAGGGCTCAATGCTTGATGGGATTTAGCAGGTATTTTGAAGATGCAACAAGGCTGGAATGAGCATTTGGCCTCTCTTTCATAGAAAACACCTGTTCATGTATTCAGAGGAGAATTTTTTATTTAAATTCTTTAACAATTTTTTTAAATTGCTGTACTTAAAATTAGTAAGACACCCACAAGGTGGCAGCAAAAGAAAGTTCTATTTTAACTGAATGATTTTTTTTGTTCCTAGGAAGTGGTAATCAGAAAGAATATTATATATGTATCTGATAAGTCTGTTCTTGAGTCAAGAAAATATACTACAGCACTCCAAAGAGAAAAATGTTTCAGAAAGATCTCTAAAAGCAGGTATGTTTGGTAGTGGAATAGAATAAAGATTCAAGAGAGATTTTTCCAAGGCATAAAACAGGTCTGATATTAAACTTGTGAATCTGGATGCTGCTTGGACTATGTCCCTGCTCAATAACACTGATTTGTAGGTTTGTTTTAGAGAATGTGCACTTTTCTACTACTCATTTTTACAATAAATTCAACCATTGTACAGATCAATGTGGTTTTGTTTTACAAAACATCTGGGATTAATTCCTGGCTGAGCTATCTACTTTCTTGTCAAGGTCATGCAATTTTAGTTGTACAAATTAGGATAATGCTTTCTTCCTCCACAGTTTTTGTCTGTTTTCTCAATTTGGAGTGTAGGAAAACAGTGTGCCTCTGCCACATGGGGCAGAAACATAGTGAACAAGAGAGTTTTCTGAGGTCTAGCAGCAGGATGTTATCAGCTGTGGACAATAAATCAGTTAAGGCAATTTACAGAGTATGTAACAAAAATCTTGGATTCCAAAAGGGAGATGTGAGCACAGGGTGAGCCCATAAAGAAGCACTCTGAATCTCCCAAAAGGCTGCAGTTGTAGGCAGCATGTGCAGTAAATCTTTTGAAGCTGAGTGTCTTCCCTAGACACCTGATGAAGGATGGTTGTTGTGCTACATATCCAGTGCAGGGCAGTGGCTAAAATCATGAGAGAAATGCAACATTTTGGCAGCTGGATGCTACTCCTGAAGCAAACAATAATACTGTGTTTTAATAGTTCTATTGTCCCCAAGAGCTACAAAATAATAAAATGTTGTTAAGCATCCAGGAGCTCTGTTGAAGGCTGGCAAGTGACTTCTTTTGTTTTTTAAATCAGATTAGCAATAAAAAAGATCTACCTCATAACAGTGAGAAGTCTCACTGGTTTTGTTTTATAAAAGTGAGTTATGGGCACAGCCCTTTGCAAAGCTATACAGTGCAAATTCTGCACCCATTTAATATTTATTAATATTGCAAGAAGGCAGATAAATTATATAGTAATACAATATATAGGATATGACTTTTAAAATTTATTTTGTTCATTTACTGATTTAATTTACTTCAAATATGACAGGGCATTTTATTAAACCAATAGAGACCTGTTAATTTAAGAATTCATTATTACAAAATCCCCTTGAAGCAAACACATTGACAATTTTTTTCATTACTGCAAAGGTCATGAAGCAATGACTTTAAAGTTTTGGTTATTAAGGTTGTTAAGCTTCTTCCACTGATTACTGTTTATTCTTGTAAAAATATTTGAACTAAACAACTTTTTTTTAAATTAGCGTAGATCAGTATATTATATATATTGTTTGGTTGTTCTTTCAAACACTTCCTTTTCTATGGTGGTGGCTGGTCCAATTTGCATACAATTTTCACTGTCCCTTTGTAACTGCCATTTATAATAACTCAGCAGCACTTTAACTATCTGCTATGTATTTCCCACAGATGGTTGCAACAAGTACAACAAACTTCCTGTGTTTGTTGAAGCTCCTTATTAATTTGTAGAGCAAACATTAAATTCAAGTGACTGCACTATTCATACATAGGATGTCTCTCCAGACACTGCCTAATCACTTCAAACAACTGCATTCTTAAATGGGTTAATTTTTCTATCTTGCATGTAGTGAAAAGACCTTCAGTAGTTTGGCTGGCACGTTGTCTTCCTGAACACTTGATTTGTTTTTCTTAGTTTTGGTTCAGGGTCAAGTTGAATTAAAAGCTTAAATTTTTGTTCATATTTTCCTTTCCCACAATCAGACATTCAGTTTTCTGAATGCTTAAGGAGGTGTTATGGCCTGGTGACATTCTGACATTCACCTCCTTAACCATGCCACCAAGGCACAAAACTTGTTTACTGTCTTCTCCAAGTACTAAGCATTTGGCATGACCTATGTTGACATTTCTTTAGGAATCATGGAAAAAGACTGCTTATATTTTCATTTTCAATATCTTAATAGCATATAATCCTACCTTCTTACATTGTAACTTCGTGGCACCAACACTGTCTTGTATAATTTAATTTGAAATTGCAGAGATGGTGCAATTTTCATTTTCAGCCAGTGTATCAGAAAGTATGCTCCTTAACAGACATTGTTATGAATAATACCTAAAGTACATTTATTCTTAGACTGTAGAAATCCAGTCTGCCAAAAAGATGTAGAAGGGAAGTTCTATAAGCAAGAGAATTAATGAGGCAGGAATTTGGGCTCTATAACCTATCACTCACAGTCTCAACAGCAGTAACACCCATTTTTCAACTCCTTTCACCTCTATGATAATCTCACCCTGCTCCTGTGTTTCATTACAGAGGCGGCTGTAAACTGCCTAGACACCCTCCAAGCTATTCATCCAAGCTACTGGCAGCCAGCAGCCAAAAAGTTAACTTCTGAACTCACTTAGCAGTTTTTCCTCAGCTGAGGTACTCTTTGTGGAATTTTCATGTCTTAGAGATCTCTTTCTTCTGTCAAATTTGGCTGAAATTGCTAATTAGCTTCAATAGCTATTGGCAAATGATGCAAAAAATAGTCAAGAAGCATCCTGATAGGAAACTAAAAAGCTACTACTTGTTGTTCTGCAAAATAAAAATAAGGTATTACTTAGAGTCTGCAAGCTTATCATTCCTTTCAATTCCTTCACTGTTTTGCCAAGTTTCTTTAGCTCGTTGTTGTGAAGAAACAGAATCTGTAATGAACATAGGTGTTTCAGAGCACCTGAAATAAAATGAAAAATAATTAATCATTCTCACCATGGCTGCCTTTATTAGAACAACATTTTGCTATGCTGTACACTGAACTTGGTATTTTAGTTATCTATGTATGCCTGTTTTTTCGTAACACATTGCATGAGATGTTAATTAAGCAATAACTAAAGATATTTCAATATCCTTTTCACCTCTCTAGTCATATCCTTTAAGCACATGCCTTTTTTCATTCCAATTTTTAACATTTGTCCACATCACCTTTGCATCAACAAATCAGCCTCAACTGCGACCTCTCTTCTACCTCCCTTCATTCCTCCTATATCCCTATAATCTTTGGTTAATTCACTTCCTTTTAGCTTGACCTGATATTACCTTTGCCTCAGAAACAATAGTATATCCCTAATACTACCTTTGTCTCACAAGTAGTAAATAGTGCATTCCTTAGAAAATAGTTCTGTTTCAAGTAATTATTGGTGTATTGAAAAGCTATTACAAAATATTGTTTTGACCCAGACTGTGTTCACATCCTCACACATCACGATTACATATCTCATTTTTGAAATTATATACAGTATTTTATTTGTCTACTAATGATACCTTTCTGTTTATCCATATTTTGTTATCATCTGTATTGTCTCTTGTATCCATGTTTATGTTTTTCAAAGATAAAGTTTGCTTGAAATCTCACAGAAATGAATCAACATCATGTCTCATCCAGCATGTTACAGGGACAGAAAAAATATTAACATTTAAAATGTCTAAAATGTTTAGAAATATATTATGTTCTGGCCTGTTCATTCACAAATTTACAAGTCTGATAAAGCCATTTTAATCTACAAGGACAACCAAAACTAAAATAGAAGTATAAGACAGATTTTTAAAATAAACCAAGTTTGGCAATAACTTTGCAAAATACTTCTGGTTATAAATTCTCAGTATTAAATATGGTCATGTAAAATCAAAAGTATTTCACAATTGCCTGACATAAAGTGAATGACATTTCATCCTTTGAACCAGAATAAACACATCAACTTATTGTCACTCAAGTATGTTGGAAAAATTAAATATATAATAATAACATCAACTTATTGTCACTCAAGTATGTTGAAAATGGAAAATGGAAAAATTAAATATATAATAAATAACATGTGTTAATTATACATACATAGGAGCTTTCAGCCAATAAGTTACTTGCTGTAATCTAGTTTTATAACTTTGAATGCCAATACAGAAAAAAGAAAGTACAGGCCTCTGCTCAACAACTTATAAAGGGAAGATTGGTACCTGATATATCTGTCAGCTCGTTATTGTTGAGATAGAGTTCAGTCAAGTAATAGTTTTTGATCAAGAAGGTTAAATCCTGGATCTGAAATTAGAGTTAGGCAAACTGTTATGTGTCACTCTGAATGTGGTGTTGGAGAATTATAAACATGGCCTCTTGAAAACGGTTTAACCACAGGTAGTTTCTTAAATTTCTGTTTAAGACTCTTGGTTTAAGGATTCTTTTGACAACTGAACCTTCATTAGAAGTACTAATTACAAATGAAAACAAGCAGTAGAGCCTTACCTAATTTTTTGAACTACACATTTAACGTTTGTATTTGGAAACAAATTTCTTTAAATGACTGATCTCCACATTTTCTCTTCCTTCTATTCATATTTGAAATAATTTTTATTGTTAGAAGACCCTTTTAGAGCATGATAATTCTATATTGGTTTAAGAATATTCCAGAAATATATCATTTGAATAAACCCAGCATCTTGTTTTTAAAATGTTTTTTCACCAGCAGGTTCAAAGAGCACAAAGTTGCTCTTATTTACTAGCAATTTCATCTAATCATGTTTAGAGACTCAATTAGAGTTATAGAAAAAAAAAAATCAGTATGAATATGGGTGTATTCCCAATAAAGAGTTATCTTCAGTCCCTATGGAATCAGACCTCCGTGTCTGGAGCTCAATTCCAAAACACTTTTGACTCCAGTGCAGGGTGAAATATCTGCAGTGGGACAGCAAGCTGACCTTTATAATCTCTGAGAACTGAGACTACTAATGGTGCTGAAGTTTTTATCCTAACAACAAACAGAATTTTATTCCTGACTCTGTGAATTCTGTGATGAAAAGTAATTTGTTAGGAATTATTTCAATCTTTGAATTTTGCCACTGACTCAGAAATAAACGTGCTTTGCTCTGTGTATTATCAGTACCTAAAAGCTGGAAGAAAGAGCATAATACAGAAGTTTTTCCACTCTCTTGTACAATGGTTTTCCCTATTTTGGGGAAGTTTTGTTTTCAGAATCATCTTAAGTTTGCTTTTTTTCTGATAAAATTATTGAGTACAGAAAAATATGCTGCTCCTATTGAGGCATTTCAGTAATACTTTTCCTATGAAAAGCCACTGTGTGACTTCTCCAGATAAGTTATATAGAACAACAAAGAATGTTCTTTGTTACTGCTCAGGTAGGAAAGGTGAGAGTTGTGCAAAACTCCAATTTATTTATGTTCTTGCATCAGCAAGATCAGTTCTGCTTAGTCATCAGGCCATTTCTTTGTTTCCTTTAATGTCCTTTCACTATACAAGTAAAAGCCCTATTATACCTGTGATTTTAGAGTAACATTTTAATAATATCTACACATTTGCTCTTTTCAAAAATAGTAGAGATCTTTTGATGAATTGGACATAAGGTGCCATATAACTGATGCTAGCCTGGGGCAGAAGATATACATGTGCTCTGAAGTGACATGGAATGCAAATTTATTTTTTCTGCTGCTCGCAGATCTACTTATTTACCAGAGCAAGCAATTCTGGAGATGGAAGAATTTGGGCTCACTGTGGAAGTCATGTAAACTACTGTACAGTAAAAGTTATACCCTGTCATCCCTAGACCTGCAGTGCTGCTTCCTGTGCACAGGGAGAAGCTCACTCCACAGTTTTATGTCACTCTTGTGTGCATGACATCAAAAAGGAGCCTCACCTCAACCACCAGCCTGCCAGGAAATAAACTATGCGTGTCTGCCATTATATAAAAGAAGAGCCATGCATTTCCTGCAATCCACTCCTGTCCTATAGCCACATCACCCCTCAGTCTGCTCCAAGAACTACCTACTCTAATTACACTGGGAGCTCAGGAACTAGCACAAAACTTCAGCTCCTTAAATAAACAAGATGTATAAATCTGATGTGAATCTAAAGGAAAATACATTAGCTTATACTACATTATATATTATATATATATTATATATACACATTACATATATATACATTAACTTATACAATACTCTGTATTGTTAAAAAAAAAAGTTTTCTTCAAATCTGTTATATTTGACAGTTAGATCAGCCTGGAAATTAAAAAAAGATTATTCATTTGACTACATACATACTACTTTATGCTAGAAAAGACCACAAAATAATAATCAGGGAGTATAGATGCATTGTTCTGCACTTTAGAGGAATAACTAATTACCTTATTGTTGTTAATCCACAAATACCTTAATCTGTGAAACTGTGATAGACTTGGGATACTTCTTAGTCCTCTGATGGAAGAAAAAAAAGAGTAACAAATTTATTAACATTAATAGTGCTTACTAATTTGATAAATATTTTATTTTCCGTAAATAATATTAGACAAGAACCAGAAAGGCACACTTCCTTAGAATTTATAATAGAGAAAAACACAAAGAGAAGGTGGCCGAGACAGTGTAAGCACTCGGCACACCTGCAAATGTAACAAGGCAGCAGGTGGTAAAGAAACAGGAACAAAATAAGTGATACATTAATTGCTTTTCCATAACAGCATGAGTTATGAGTCTGAGTCACATGTACTTTGCACTTTGTAGAAATCCTGCTCAGAACACAGGAGGAGAAGTTTGGCACCCTGGGGACATAAGCTAAAAGCAAAACTGCTTTGAGGGTGCAGCGGGATTGTCCAGCCACAGTGCCAGAGAAGCCAACAGAAGACAGACACCAAGCATGTCAATGAGCATTTTTTATTCTTTTTCATATTAGTGTACATTGTGAAATTTTGCCTTTTTTCCATTACTGTCCTACTCTTATAGAAACTTAGTACATCCACTGAGGCTGAAATGATCTCCCATGTGCTAGTATGGTTTTATGTTTAATTGTGTATCTAGCACTTTGAGCTTGCTAGTGTACTATAAATAAAAAATTACCTATGACCAGAAAATATTAGTAAGCTGCCAAGTGATTTTAACAAAGTGTTCTTCTTTATTTTCATTGCTATAAATAAATGTTCTTAATTTCCTCTAGAAAAATTATAGATTACTTTTATCTGACAATTTTTAATTGCCATAATAAAAATTTTCTTGTGGATTTTAATGTGTTGCAAGATGAAGGCCAATGTTTCAGAAGGTAACAGGACTGATAAAAATTAACCTCACATCATCAGGCTGAAGGCATGTTTGTTTTCCAGCTGTGAAGTCTGGTCTCTATCTTTCCATGTTGTCTTTTTATTTGCTGGGTTGTTTTTTTCTCCAACACACCCTCCAGGTACAGACACAGGGAGGCTGGGTGCCTTTTCTCATCTTGATTTGGAAATGAAAAGTCTGTCAAGAGCAAACCCTACAAAGCTGAGGCTGACTATACTTTTAGTGCCTTGTATTAACTGAAAATCAGATTATCCTCTCATGTTGTTACTTTTAACTGTTTCTTTGGCTTCCTCAGATAAACCATAAAAACTAACCCAGCAATTGCCTCCCTCATGTGTCTACTGTCACAAGTAACAGAAAAAGACATTACTGCAAGTAGCAGGGGCAAGCAGATGGCTGTTGACAGGACATACAGAGCTCCTACAGAGCTCGTATCTAATTATCCTCTGCATCCCTGAACTACATTTCAGGTAGCAAAGCCAAAATTTCTTATATTCTTGGTCGCTGCCACTCTACAACTAGATTACAGCTTTACATTTAATTTGTTTTATTCCCTGTCTAGTGACTGCCTCATCTTTACTATCTCCAAGCCTCAATCTGTTGGTTTTTTGGTTTTGTTTGCTGCTTTGCTTTTTTTTTTTTCATATTAAGGCATTTAATTTGCCCCAGGTAGAGCTTAATTCCTCTAACATTTTAAAAGAGCCTGTCCTTTTCTACATGCCTTCCAGACTTTGTATGTCTTTTATAAACTGATCCTTTTTGGCCTGCAGCACTCTTTTTCTACCTACTGCTAAGTTAATCAGTTTTCCTGGGATGACAGCTTTTAGTGTCCAAAATACATTGTTTCATGTCTCTTTAATAGCAGTGTTTAAAAATATAAACTCATTCCCTCTTATTTGATTTACTTTAATTTTTTTTCCCATTTTCTTCTTTCAGCTAGCAAAAAAATATGTCAAACCAACACTAAAGGAGGCATGATCTGATACTGAGCTTGGCTGGGATTCAAGTTTATATAAAATGATAGAGAATAAAAGGAGTTCACTTCTATCTAATCCTGCATCATCTTTACCAGAATGGTTTAATGGGAAGACAGATCACCTATGTATCTGCCATGTGAGCAGTTCTTTTTATTCTATACCAAAAAAAATACTTGAAAGCCAGAGAGGGCACACATTTAAGCATTTAAAACCAGAAAGTACACCAATTAAGACTGTATATACAGTCTTAATTCTTTACATGTGTGGTATAATAATTGTATTGTTTAGAAAGCATGCATATATGCCCCTTGTAATTTTCTCATTATTGAAACTTCTCCCTTAAATTTTATCTTTTTTCTTCTTTCTAAAATGCAAATTTTAAGAAAATTGACAGTAACTGTATGTTTTACCTCACAAAGCATCAAATACTTTCTTGATGTAAATCAGGAGATGTGATAAGGAATTTAAACATATTAGTGAGCACATAGATTTTCAAGACCATCTAATTTCCACTAAAAACAGACTAGACAACACTGAAATCCCTTAATTCCTTAGGACTTTTTTTCACTCATTGGACCAAGAGACCTTGAAAACCTTTTCCCTGAATTATTAAACTAAGTTGTTTTTCCTATATGTTATCAACCATGTGAGCAGTGGATGAAGTTGTGAGGCTGCAGACAGGTATGCAACACTTGGAATTGTGCCCTGGCCAGAAATTCCAAGCACGCTCTCCCAAAACTTTGAAGTATGTCCTGTCATGTATCCATCCCTCTATGGCAGCCTCTCAGCGTGTTCATACTACAACATACACCTCTATCAACCTAGATCACCCACAGGTTCATGGAAGTCTGCCTTCCTTCACTTAGCACGTCTTCTTCTCCTCATCTGCCCTACATCTCAAGCTGTTTCATTTAGCTCTCAGAGGAGATCAGCTCTCCCATCAGTACTGCCTGCCCAAAAGAAGTATTCTTGTGCTTGTATTCACTTTATCTTGCCCTGCCCTCCCTTCAGTTCTTAGCAGCACAGATGCAGGTAATTTCAAGGGTGGTACCACTGAGTTTTGCCATTGCAGTAACACACTTCTTCAGGGAGGTCAGAAATTTGGCAGTTCCTAGACTGGGCAGGTCCCACGTTCTTTCATTCGCCTTCTTGCTACTCCTTCCACCCAGCCTTACGCGCCTGTTAGGACAGGCAGAGATCAGCCCATCGACTCTCACTCCTCTGCTCCCCATGGCAGAAATTCATGTACAACTCTGTGAGCTCACAGACCCTCAAGCAACTCTGGCTTGCTGCAGACAGATTGTGTATCTGGGGATGAGGCTGTTAGCTGTGAGTGCAGTGCTGCTGTGTCCGTGTACCTCTACCACGTCTCCATTCACAACACGTATGGACTATGTAAGAACATGATTTCGTATCTGGGGATGAGGTTGTTAGCTGTGAGTGCAGTGCTGCTGTGTCCATGTACCTCTACCATGTCTCCATTTGGACAATGTAAGAATATGATTTACTGGTATTTCACATATAAATGGTGTTCAGAGAGTTCCTGATACAGAAAGCACTGTGAAAGATTTGCATTTACTGTGTGCTCTACTTTTAGTAAAAGTCAAAACAAGAAACATGTTACTTACTGTCTAGCCAGATACAGTGCTACGACATCCACACTGCTCTTATAGCCACAAATCTTCAGCTGCTTTTCTATTGCCTGACAGTATACAGTACATTTGTCAGTATAATGTGCTGCACCACTATGAATTCATTACATTGTAACATATGTGAACTCAGCGTTTAAAGTAACCAAAATTAATACATGTATCACAGCACCTTATTACAGTAAACTGTAACATAGTCTAAGAGAGATGAGGAGATATTAAATTCCCAGTCTCTATTTTAAATTGATAACAATAGTCTGGTGATCAGGCTACACTTACACTAACTTTTTTTCCTGTGGAGAATCATAGTTGGTAGACATGAAGTGAGAAATTAACGTATGTTAACTAGAGAATGGGCTTCTCACTCAGGTCAGCTAACCCAGTACTTGTGATGAACAAGGAAACTGCTTACTTTGCATTACAGTTGCAACTTTATTTTATGCAGCTTTACTTTAAAACTATGCATATGACCTTTTAAAACTATGCATCTAGAAAACTCTGCTTGTACATTTAACATTGAAAAATGCAGACATAATTTTTATTTTCAGAATATATTCCTGATGCGTTATGACTTGCAAAAGCAATAAAACCCATTAACATGAGAATTATGGATCTCTCTTAATAGTGGTTGATAAAAACTAAACTGCATATCAGAAAAAATTGGTGTAATGCATGAGCTATTGTGCCCAACGTCATTATGACCATTATTGTTAAAACACAAAATTGATACAACTTCACAAGCATAAAATGGCTTGGAAGCACTGACAGGCATGTCGAGAGTGGCCTGTATTAGCTGCAGAACAACTCCAGCGTGTTCTGGGTGTGCTAAACCTTCACAAAGTAAATTGCTAAGGTGCGGGACGTGTGGCACTCTCTGGCCAGAGGCAGCCGGGCACCCGCAGGCCGCTCGTTCCCCACAGCGGCTGTGGCACACCCCAAGTCAGCCCCGGCAGTACGGGACACACCGACGGGAGTGCCGAAGTGACAATGGGGCAGGCACACCTACGGCAGGGAGCACCAACCCGGGGCTTGCGTTCCACAGCCAGGAAGGCTGTGCTCAAAGATTCATATTTCGCATATTCCGTTATGCGACATCTCATCCTCTCCCCACCCTGGAGCCCCGTTCCTGTCAGCCCCGGCTCAGGCACGCTCACTCGCTGCCTAGGAAGGACGGGAAGGGCTGCCCCGGCTCTCCCGGAGGATCCGGGCCGCTCGCTGCCGCCCCGGGGCCGGGCGGGGGCGGAGGGAGCGCGCCTGGCCTCGCTCGGTGCCGAGCAGAGCGAGCGGCCGAGGCCCAGGCCGCTGGGGCCGGGCCGGGCCGGGCCGGGGCAGCCGCGGTGCGGGCGGGGCTGGCCGAGGGGAGAGAGGGGCCGCGCCCGCTCACCTGCCCGCCGGCCGCGGCGGCCGCCGCCATCTTGGAGCCTGCTGTGGGCCGCTGCAGGGCGGATCGCGAGCCGCGGCTGAGCTGCGCTGGGCCGGGCGGGCAGGCCAGGCTGCAGTGGGCTTTCGGAGCCAGGACCCCCAGCACGCACCTAGATTCGCGGGATTGGTTTAAGAAAGTACCTGTGAGATCATCAAGTCCAACCTATGGCTGATCACCACCGCCTCAACTAGACAGTGTCACTGAATGCCACATGTAGTCTTTCCTTAAACATCTCAAGGGACGGTGACTCCACCACCTCCCCGTGCAGCTCATTCCAATGTCTGTAATCGCCCTTTTTGTGAAGAAATTATTTCTTCCTCTGGCACAGCTCGACACTGGCCTCTGGTCCCATCGCTGGTTGCCTGGGAGAAGAGACCAACTCCCACCTGGCTACAGCCTCCTTTCAGGGAATTGTACAGAGCAATAAAGTCTCCCCTGAGCCTCCTTTCCTCCAGGCTAAACAACCCCAGCTCCCTCAGTCACTTCTCATAAGACTTGTGCTCCAGGCTCCTGCCCATCTCACCTGCCCTTCTCTGGACATGCTCCATCACCTCAATGTCCTCCCTGAGCTGACGGTCCCAGGGCTGGACGCAGTAGAAATGGTGCAACACTGAAATGGGAGCCCCAGCCTGGGCGTGAATCAAGACAGCTGCTAGAAATATAGGTAGTAATTCGTGAAGATAAACAGCGTATAAATATATATGTGAACAGAGTAAAACGGGGAGAGAAGGTGGGGGGGAGAAATCCCTTTGTTTCCTTCAGGTTGAGAAATCCAACAGGATGACAAAATCACGAGGCCTCGAAACAGCGGCAGATGGACATCACTGCATTTGCATCCGAAGAGAGGAGCAGCCATCAGCACCAACGACAGAAGACGCCTGGTGCTGATGGCCCAGACAAGATGCCTATCGGTGCATAGAACCATCAACGCCTCGGATCTGAATGCCAGATTCCGGGAGCCAGGGAAATGGATCATTCTACTCCCGGACGAGGCTTTGTCTCGAGAAAGAAACCAACGGAATTTTTTTATTTATAACAACAGGACTTTGTGCTGGGGAAGGAGCTCGATGGCGAGTGAGGGTACCCACACCGCGAGCCAGGACTCGGGGAGGGGTCCTGGGGGGCCAGCGAGAGACCCTGGTGGGCAGTGGGTAGGGGGAGCTGGGAGAGACCTCTGATACCTCTGGGCTGTCTCCTGGATCGTATTTGCTCATAACCCATATTGCCTTGCTTTTATTTTTTTTCTAACTATATTCCTGTGGTTTCTTTATTTTTAGGCACAGATCCTATGTCTATGTATGTATATCCTTTTTTTTTTTTTTTTTAACTATATTCCTGTGGATTCTTTATTTTTAGGCACAGATCCTATGTCTATGTATGTATATCAGAATCACAGAAATAATTAGGTTGGAGGAGATCTCTGAGATCACTGTGTCCAACTATGACCAAAACCCACCATGCCCACTAGACCATGGCACTAAGTGCCACATCTTGTCTTTCCTTGAAAACCTTCAGGGAGTGAGACCCCACCATCTCCCTCAGCAGACCATTCCAATGTCTAATCACCCTTTCTGTGAAGAAATTCCTCCGGAATACATGTCACTTATAAAGAAAACACTTGTGTGTTTAATTTACAGCTAATTCACACCGTATGTATTACTCCCTTGCAACTTGCAAATCACCTTGGTGCCTGAGAGCCCTTCTCCCATGCTGGCTCCTGGAGTGGGCCCACTGCTGCGACAGTGCTTTGGATTGAGTTTGGCTGTAAAGGAACACAAAATGTTTATGACATCCACATGTGCAAGCAACTGCTGCCATGTTGCTATTTTTATAACCATTTTACTGCATAGCACAAGCTGAAGAATAGAAAAAGCCATTTCCAGTGTGTGTGTGTGCACGCACTCATGTGCAAGTAGGACAAAAGAAAATGTTTGATCAAGCTACAACAAAAATATGTCTGAAAACTTGGAGCTTTATTTAGAATTTAATTTACGCCGAGTACTCAAGTTAGCAGAAATAGTCATTGTAAATTATGTGTAACTGATATACAAAGAGCAAGAGTTGTGTGTGCAAATATATGAATAAGCTGTCCCTCATGGAATTAATTATGTGCATGCCTCTGCTTGTTCAGACCAATGAAGCTAGATGTAGTGTGTATGATGGAGGAATGGAACTACAGTACAAGTATTATATTGCAAATATCTAATTTTCGTGGAAAAAATTCTGTGGGTGGCTTCCATTTCAGATAGGTAGCTTTAAACAAATAGAAACCTCAAATAAGAAAACTAGACATGCTAAAGGTATAAAACTGACAAGAGGAATTGCTTTAATCCCTTATTTTAGCTTGTGAAAATATCTCTAGGGTATTTAAAATCATGAAAAGAGGGACTGTAATGGAGAAGAAGAAACTGGTACAAGAGTTCTGTATTTTTTTCATTCTACATTCAAGTTCAGTGTTTTCAATCAACAAGATAGAGCTACCAGTTTAGAACTGTGAAAGGCAAGGTAGCTATTAAAGTCATGTTTAATAATGAAATTGACTTATCAATTAGTCCAATTAACATGATAGGACAAGAAATTTCAGTAATTAAATATGGGAAAAGAGAGAGAGAGGGAGCCTCTGTAAGGTATTTTATTATATTCGTCCACAGAGGTGTGAGGTATATGAGGTGAGCATTTGATATGCTTTGGGGTTTTGAGGTGCTTGTCTCTATTAGCAAATGGTGGTTACAGACTTAATCTGGATGATTAAATAGCGACTGTCTCAAATTCAGTAAAGTTAATATCTATTTCTTTCTGCATTTGCAAATTGAATATTAAAATTCCCAATGAGTTTAAAGGAATTTGGGCAGAAAATTATTTTTTTTTTTATTCAGACTGAACTGTGACCATATTTTATAGTGGCTTGGTATTGGTTTGTTTTTGGTTTTTTTTCCAAAATATGTAGCCTATTTATTACTATTCCTGAATTAAATTGATGTCCATAAGTGAACAACCATTTTTCCTTTGGATTACTCAGAATAATGACTGATTTGTTATACATATTTTTCAAAAAAACTTCTCATACTTATGTAGTAAAAATATTTAATGTGCTTATGCATGGATAAGCAGTTGCAACAAGACAACATGACTTTATAGTATGTGATAACATAGAAATAGGGAACACAGAAATAGGGGAAAGCACAGACAGATTTGCTTTTACTGACAAAGGTGATAGGGCAGAACAGGAGGTTACTGATTTTGTAAATCATCAGGCTACAGGTGCCTTGGGAAGTGACACTTTTTGTTTGCTACTTCGGAGACCTCCTGGTATGTCCATGCTTTGACCAAACACCACGGATATAGGAGATTGTCATTGTATTGCTTTAAAAAACACGTTATAGAAACATGGATTTGCTAGGAATAATAAAATTGAGATTAAACCTGATTTAAAATGTAACGTTGGATGCTGTCTTGTTCCGCCCACATGCTTCACCATCTCTGGGGAAAACTCTTCTGTGGAGCTCTTCTGTCAGTCTAGCAACTGACACTTGGGCAATAATGATTTGATATGCTAAATCATTCCGCCATTTTTTAACTTCCTAATGATTTTGATAGTACTTTATTGAAAAACCAATAGCACAACAGCTCTTTGTAAGTTAACCTGTTGTTCAATGTCTGTGAAAGATGAAATATACTAAAACCAACGCCTAATATGTGATATTTTTAATTACCAAAGTTTATAATTCTCAGAATTCAGTTATTCTTTGTGATATTAGAAAAGGTACTGTGCTGTATGGCTCTTCCACATGGGTATTTTTAAAAACTGCATCTACATTTTATAGGCTCACTTAATTTACACTAGAAGGGATTTCTGGAGGTCATCTAGTCCAACCTCCCAAAGAAAGTAGATTCAACTAAAGAATTACTTTCCATCTCACATGGTTGTGCATTTCTGGTACTTATACCAGAACATCCATCAAAGAATAAAAGCACTATCTGGGATGAATTTAAAATTGCCTATGTTATACTGATAAAAATTAGTACAATTAACTTGTTTTTGAGGTTATTAAATACATTTCACCTGGAAAGTGAAATGCAAAATATTGCAGATAAATGCTGTTTTCCTTTTTTTCTTCTTGTAACCGGAAATATGTTATCAGTGTTTATCAGGTGAAAGCCAGAAGCCTGAGGAAAGATCAGTAGGATATCCCACCTGCATTCCAGCTATTGCTCCAGAAGAGTACAGTTCTCAGGTAGGTCCAGTAGCTGCAAGCCCTGTGCAGATGTTTCAAATACTCAGCACTGTCTAAAGCATTCAGGAATTTGAATCACTTCTCTCACTCATGCTATTAATCTTGCTGATGGCACTGATAACATCCCAGTGACCCTTTAGCATGTTCAGGAGCAGAATTTTGGGAGGTGGTTTTTTTTCCCCCAATAAATAATACAAATTGGGGGGTCCTATATCTAAACAGTTCAGACTATTTTCAGTTTGAAGGTAATGATTAACTGCAGTGGTTAGGCTGCTGCCTGGCAAACATTATTTATTTTTTCTTGTATTATGTGTGATATAAATTAATATATGATACAGGATGGTGGGTATACAGAAAGAAGATAACACAGTCCAGATGCAACCTATGGCAAAATTATCGCAGTAGACTGCATCATATGGATGAACCACCTTGTTTGTATCCAGCTTCACTCTGACTTGACAACTGAATACTACCCTGGAGAATAAAGACCACCACCACTAATGTGACAAGCCTTCTGGAGAGGAGGCCCAACAGCTTTATAAATACTCTTATTTTTCTATCAGCACAATTTGGACATATCTTTCATTTCAATATATCCAACTCTTAACTTTGTTCCCTGGCCATTCTGCATGCTGGAGTGGTCCCGCAGTTTGGCTTCCAAGTCTGATCAAAACTGAGAAAAGAAATCATTGTCTGGTGCAGCTCTTTTATGGGTATGTAAACATTCTGCAAACAACATTCTTATGGCAAATGATCCTATTACTCTAGTCTCATAAATTTGCATGCTAATCTTTCA